TCGTATCTTCCGTAAACGCACAGAAGTACGCTCTGTTGCCGGCTACGTGCACATTTGCAGCCGTGTCAAAGAACCATCAACCACTGCTCATGTCACCGTTCACACCAGTTCTACCACTGTTACCCTCCTCGTCCTGTGTGACCTCATCCGTCAGTTCGTCTTCAGACACTCTGACACTGGTCTCCACGCTCGCATCGATCATCATGCGATCTAGAGTACCTGCCACCACATCAACGTCCTCATCTTTCTGATCAGGTTTTGGTCGTGAGCGGTTCTCTTGCCGAAGAGTCACGTTCCCCCGCGGTTTCCGCTTTTCATTTGATCCAGCGCCGCTTAAACGATCCGTCCTCTCTGGGCATGCAGCCTTCAAGTGCTCTGTACTCTCACAGAGATAGCACTTCTTCGGCTTCTTCTTCATGAAGTCGTTGTTTTTCTCCCTTCTCGGGTTATCAGCCTTTCCTGTCGTTCCTCCACCATGGTTTTTCTCCGCCTTTATGCCCTCCTCGTTGTCCGCCACCTCCCTTTCCACCAAGTTCGTTCTGTCGAGAAGCCGCTTCTCGACTTAACTCACGAACTTTAGCAGGAGTGAACAAGCTTGAGTCAGCTGCGTAGAGAATAGATGACTTCATCCGTTCGAACTTTGGCTGATCCGGTAAACTTACCAGCAGTGCTTCTACCATGTCGAGATCATTCACATTGTACTGCAAAGTATCCAATTCAGTCTTGAGGTTGAACATCTTGCTCAAGTGTAGGTTAGTATTCCCACCAACTGCCAATTTGATGCTCCAAAGTTCGTTCCTCAGTCGACGAATTGTGTGGGCCTTCACCGTTTTGTTCGCCTTATTTTCGAACAGGTCACTCAGCGCAGCCCACATTTCAGTTCCAGTCGTCCTATCACGAATCTGATGTAGAATCTCTGACGGCACTGACATACCAATGATATGCATGATCTTGGTCTGTTTCAGGTCGAATTCTTCTTCACTCTCACTTGTAGAAAGCATAGATCTTGTAATCTTCTCTTCTACAACGTCAGTAAGCATCATCTCCCTGAACACCATCTGCATTGCGAACTTGTATGCCTGCCAGTCCTTTCCGTTCCAGTCCTTAGGTATTCCTTCGGACGTGAACTTTATCTTATCCACCATCTTGGATCGCTTCTTGTGCAGCAGGAAGTCCGCAGTTCTCTTGAACTCAGAACCCTCTTCGAAGTTGCACTCGATCTGTCTGGCCGGACAGGAAGGAAAAGTAGAAGTGAATAAATTAGTTGCTTAAGTTCTCTCACCAAACTCTCACAACCAGTAAAGGACCTGTGTCCTCTCTCATGCAGAAGCCCACGTCTCTCTGCTTCTCAGCGACTTGGTCCAACCCCCGTTGACCAGGTCTCACATTGAACTCAGCTTCGACATCGGGTCTTCGATATGCAATCCAACACAGTCATCAGAAGAGCCTTCTCCTAGGCTTTATTTTGAAGAAGCTCGGGTTTCTAAAACCCCTAATTAAAAGTCCCGGCTGTGCTCCACTTCTCTCCCAAAATGCTATTTATGCGAGATTTTATTCTAATTCTCGAATACCTTCTTAATAGGTAAAAACCTCAAATACCTGGTCAAACCACTTTTTGGTCTCATCAAACATTTATAATCCGACCCTTAAGTAGCAACGCGATAAACCACTTGGCTGAGGTTCATTTTACCCAAACGTCGTGTTCCGGCAACAGTTGATTTTTTTTAAACTTTTTATATAGTTTTGGAAGGCACTTAATGGGTGCCTTTGGTCAATTAGGAACAGTAGCCACGAAACTTGCCTTTTTTATTCGCCTAAGTGATTTGATTTATTTATCGAGGGAGCGGCGCGCTGAGTACCGCTGTGCAGAGCCAAGCAGACTTTGCAAGCCGCTTCGCTTGTGTGTCTACGTTACGCCACTCGTTCACTTGTTCGGTGACGTTGGCAGCTCCCGGGTTGGTATAGGAGTAAGTACTGTTTACACCAGTCTTTGTTAGCAAAACACCAAAAGTATACTATCAGCACCCCAGAAATCCATGTGGCACCGACCGATACCTATCAGCCACTCGTTATTGTGATTGTGACACCACCAGACCACCAGCAGCACTCTTGTCCCGGAGACGCTAGCTCGGCAGATTATTTTGGCCAATGGTCAAAGTTCTATCACAAAAGTAACATCCAGCAATACTCGAGGGGCTCGGGCTTTCCTTTACTATCCACCATTCAGCAATCGCACCCCGCTAAGCCAGCCCCTAGCTCCCCCCAGTACCCCTCATGGTTTTCCGACACCATTGGCAGACACTCGCGGCTGCGACGCCCCAGATCGAGGCTGACCGTCTACTAGGAGGCCTTAAGAAGTTCCGTGTTGCAAAAAGTGATCTGAAACAGTGCTATGTATGCATGAACGCCACTCCGCATCCAATGCGGATGCAGCGCCTGGCTTGCGCGTGCAACGCCTGCGAGGACGTCTCGACAGCTGCTGTCTGCCGCAGGAGAGGTCGCGTCATGACGTGCCAGCAGACGCATCTCGTAACGATTGAAGAAGCCTACACCTATGCTACCCCTGCCCGCGTCGCAAGCGCCCCCGTGCTAACAAACGCAATGAAAACGGCAGTGATGGATTGGGCTAGTCAAGGTCTCAAGCCGAAAAGGATTTGGATCGCGCTAACCCAGCGTTGTAATCTAACTGAGGCCACTGCACCACCGCTGGCGAGAGTCTAGCGCTTTGCGCATCACCATGTCGTGGGGCGCCTTGGTGGCAGCGACCTGCGTGCCGCCGTTCACCGTAAGGTGCAGAAAACCTTTTTTACCGGTCAAGAAGAAGAGGCAGCTGCGTTCACGTTTACAAAACGCACAGATGTGAATGGCAATGCTGTCATAGGCAACGGAAGCGACGCTAATCCCATCGTGATTGGAATTAGCACGAAGAAACTTCTACGCCGTGCCAATCGGGACGCTGCATCATTTATCTTAAACTTGGACGCCACGTACAAGCTCACTCAAGTAGGCTACCCGGTCATCGTTGCTGGCATCTCAGATAGAGCGAGACATTTCCATCTCTTGGCGGTCTTTATTGTGTCGCAGCAGCAACAAGACCAGCACAATGAGGTGCTCCAGCTACTTCGCCGCGTTTATTATACTGTGGTGGGTAAGCCGCTAACTGTTCGCTACGTGATGGGTGATACCGACGCAGCCCAGTGGAATGCCGCTGAAGAGGTGTTTGGGGAAGACTGCGAGTATACATACTTGATGTGTTACTTTCATGTGGCCAAGAAGATATTCGAGAAAACACGCTCCATGGATTTCAGCATAGCAACATCGGTAATGGCTGATGTCCACGACTTACCTTATACCACGAGCGACGTCGCCTTCCAGGATAAGCTAACTGCAGTGCAAGAGCGCTGGGCAAAGCGCAAGGATCTAGAGGACTTCTCGAAGTACTTTTTGAAAGTGTGGTTGAACCAGCGCTTCGGGCGGTGGGAGTGCTTCCACACACCAAGCGGTTACGAAACCACCAATAACCCGTGCTAGACTTACAACGCTGCGATTAAAAGAGACGTCACTCTGCGTCGAAAGATCAAGGTCGGCGCTCTTATACCACTTCTGAGGGTCCTATGTGAAAGCGAAAGTGTCGCTGCGAGACCCTTCACAGCTTTGCGAGCCAGACGCAAGACTTGTGCGACGTGTCAAAGCGATGGCTAGAGCTGGGCTACTGTCAGTGTACGTCACCTTGAGAAATAGCATTGCTTTCCTGCTATCCAATCCTCCCGACATTTCGTCACGTGACGTAGTCGGTGTTGTTAGTCATCCATCGCCCCGCGCTTATGACGAAATGAGAAAGAAGACAGTAGAGGACCTGCCGATCTCTTCACAACTGAACAAGCTCACTGCAAATATGGAGACGCAGGGAACGCCTGCATCGGGTTCGCCCGTGGATATGCAATCCCGCTCGTGTCCGTGCAACTTTTGGTTCAAGTACGGATCCTGCATCCACACGCTGTACACTATGGAGGTGCGCGGCGTTACTGACATACACGGAAGAGAAACGCTGGTTTACAGAGGGGCGAAGTCGCGTAGAGGTGCATCGGTAAGTGCTGGTAGGCCGCGCGCAATTGGTCCGGCGTTAGAAATAGAGTAACAATACTTCATGAGTAGTATAGAAACTCGCTGCAGCAACGATGAACGCATTCATGAATTCAGGTAGTTATCCCTAAACAAGAGTCGGTTACGGAAGTTCTGGTTTGTAGAAGTGATTCAGTAGCTACCGTACTGATGCAAACAACTCACAAAGATGGTGTGCTTATCTACGGTCAAGATATGCTGCATTTTAAAAACTATACAAAAATCACACTGACATGACCTCAGTGACAGCCCTATTGTTCTCCCGCTTGTACAAACCGATGTTACGACTTAGTGAATAATGAATCAGTCCTTAGACACTCTCTTGTTATAATTAACAACAGGGCTGCGGCCGATCCAGATTCTGAATCCTGGAGAAGCAGCGCACTTAGGCTCTGTCGTGCCAAGCCTAATACACAGATGCCAAATCTGGCCTGTAGAAACTTAAAGAGATTACTTGAGCTTAACAAAATGCTTTACAAATGAATGTGAAACAAATATTGCAAGTTAGGCTGCGAGATAACTGTGTCAGAATGTTTGATTGTTAGATCTTTACGCTAAATAAAAAAGCGCGTGGAGGTCGTTTATACAGAGTGACCAAATCTGGCTTGTACAAATGGTGCGGGTAAGTGTTTCGATGCTGCCTCAAACAAGCTGGGTCCACTAATCGTTAATGTGCAAGATAGGCTGCAAAAACCCATAGTTTCAGAGGAGGCGACCGTAACTACAAGTGTTTTAGTACTTATATTTGACAAAATGTAGCTTGTACAAGTCTAAGCACTTGTACTTTGAAAACTACCTGTACGTCGAAACAGTCCCCCAAATCAAAATTGCAAGTTAGGATGCGAAAAGAAATGTATTATCAAAAATTAGAATTCTGATTAGGAGCAAAGTGTACTGCAGTCACTTTTGGTGCTTGCAGCCCGTACGGCAGCTAGCTTCTCATTAAGTTTCCGCTTCTTTTTTTTCTTCGCGTTCGCACCTAGACGAGCTTTCTCCAACTTTGCTGGTAGCTTCAACTTTTTGTAGAAAAGCTTCTTCTCACGCTCGAAGTTTGCCTGGTCACACACACGTCCCTCCATCGTATAGTACGCTGTTAGCAGAGACTCCCACGATCCAACAGAATCCTTTTTGCTACCTGATGCTAGCTTGGTTGCATATCGAAACGACGCAACGCGGTCCACTTCACAAACCACAACCTCGCCAAAAATACCGCCCCATTTGTCTTCTTCAGCAGTGCCCTTCTGGTAGACGAGAAGTACCGAGTGAAACACCAGGTTATTCAAGCACACGACATCGCCGGGTCGTTGGATAAGCACGGAGCTTCCAGGCGTACGTAGCATCCTATTCAAGGAGTCCTCCTTGTTCCCGTAGTTGAAGGATGTGGTCGTCTTAGAAGCCGGAGAAAATACCACCCAAATCTTGAAGGCCGTCTTCGCGCACGGGGGCAGGTACGAAATCACACGCCCGTGGTCGACGTGTATGGGGAGCTCACGGTTTCCAGATTGAAGTCAGAATTCAGACCTATACCTATAGGCTTCGCTGTGTGGAAACACGAGCTTGGAGTAGTAGTTTGGCAAGTGTACGCTGTACTGGTCCGAGGGGCAAAATCGGCCTTCTTCTTGCTCCTCCCTTGCACCCTCCTCCACGAACTCCCGAATGTTGGTTGTTCCGCGGATGTCAAAGATATGCTGGGGTCGCTCGGAATACGTGTATACCCACGTACCCCTGCCACCAAATCACACGAGCCAACAAACACCAGTGCTGGTGCCTCGTAATTCATTACACGCGCCCATGAGAACGCGCCCAGCACGTATCGGTCCTTGCTGTACGGTATGCGGGCCTTGATCTTCTGCAGGTCGTACGTCCGAGGGCCATAGTCTACCCGATCGACTAGCTGCATCAACGCATCGATGAATTGCGCGCTCATCGTCGAGTGAGGTCGATATCTAGGCTTGCAACTATTTGTAGAAAATTGACCAATTAAAAACTGCCAGGGAGTCGTTGGGTGCTACACAGGGATGCCCTGGCTATACATGGGTGATATTTGAGAAAATGCAGTGTTGAGTCCCTAAACTGACGGTGTTTATCGTATTTACTCGTTGGTATAGGCTTCAATATTTGGGTAACCCCAAATGTGTTTTATCCATAAATGTACGTCGCATTAAGTCGAAATAACTGCAAATGAAGCTTTTTCGTAAATTTCACATGTGATGAATGAAGCGACTCTTTATTCTTGTGGAAAGCTTTATGCACGATAGAATTGGTGCTAATCGCAAGGTCAATCGGATCAAGCACGAGCCCTTCGCTGTAGTTTTTCTACTCTAAGTGCACGCTGGATGGCGTATCGCGCTGGATGGCGTATCGCGATGGATGCAGCTGGTCGTGGCCGTCCACGCGACGTGGTAGTCCTTTATGACCCGGGAATACCGCACTTCCACTTGAGCCGCTCCAACCTGGTGCACAACGCGATACATATCCAAACTTCAGTACCGCTAGAGACTTGGTCATGTGGAGATGTAGTCAGCAGATCTTGATTGCTAGAGAGACACCTCGGCGGAGGCGTTTGCGGAGCATGGCTGGTCGGGGCGGAGCCATTTTCACATGCTTCTTCAATGACCGCAGTAGGACGCTCAGATACAGTCACTTCAGTTTCATCTGACTGTTACGATGTAGAGTCCACAGCGACCAAAGCCACAGTCGGACACGCAGATGCAGTGTCCTCGGCATCAGCCGACTGCTGTGATGTAGATCCCACGAGTACAGGGCCCACAGGCGCAGTCGTCGTGGTTTATGCAGGGTCCACAGCAGCCTCGACATGCGCCGCGTAGCTCAGACCTACGATCTCTGTAATGGGCCTACTTTAAACCCACTACTTCGGCGTACACGTTAGCGCACGTGTATGAGGTAGCGTGAGTTACGTTTCACTTAGATTAACTATACTTTCGTCCGAAAGTATAGATTTACTTCAATAGGAAAGCAACGCCGATTTCCGGTAAAAATGAGAACTGTTTATTTGCTTGTTTGGATTCTCCTCCTAATCTAATATTCTAATAAAAGGTATTTAGCAGCTAATATTCTAATTGGTTAAAGATATTGACTTTCAACCAATAAATTCCTTGAATGCATGCAGATCAACAGTCTGCCAAATGTAGTCATTAGTGTATCTCACACCAATATGGAAAACCTCTTCTGTAACCAAATGGCTATGTGTAGCCACTTAAGTGTAACCTCGTTACCCCCCCCCCATGCTAAGCTAAGACCTCTCTAGTCTTAACACATCATTAAAAGTGTTGACGAGGCCGTCAAAACGATTGAGAAACCCGAGCTCATTTCGCAATGAGCTCGCCGAGGAAGGCACCCGCAAGCGTATGCTCCGGCAGACTGTTACGTCTGTGCCTGCACCGGCAGGCACCACCTTCAGTGTCCGCGCATGCTGCCAAGTACAAGCTGTTTAGCTTCATGATCGACGACGCGTTCGGCCACGTAAGTACTGTAGTTGGCGTAACCTAACCAAACGGTTAGTGATTCGTTGGTGTAATTGGTGACTAGCTGGTGACCAGCTGGTGATAATACTACAGAAATTTGCCTGAATAAGGAACGGGGTTTCAATTAATAACCTCTCAATTTTTATAGTCAGGAAAGATTTAGGGAGATGGGATAGTGATGGGCAAGGTACTGACAAAACAATCCAGGCACTGACTTTGATTTCAATTTAAAGAATGGCGCGCAGTAGGTGATCCTCCTTCGCTTCAAGCCCTACGAGCCGATCAGCATTCCATCATTTACATTCAAGCTCACTAGCCGACTGCGTCCACTAAGCAATGTCCGTGTTGAGAAGCTACCCCCGAACACCACCGCCAATATCCAGACGCTGGATCAGGGGATCACCAATAGCATTAAACGCTACATCTTATCGCAAAAAATGATGTTCGCATTGGATCGCCTAGGCGAAGGTCTCGCCAGCCCGTACAACGTCGACCAGCTAACTGCACTGCTCTGGTGCGAGGCTGCATGGTCTAAAGTTAGCGCTTCCACGATTCAGCACTGCTGGAATCACTCTGGTCTCATTCAAAAGTCAATCTTCAATTATCCTAACTTAATTCAATACATGCACATGATTAGATATCATAGTCTGTTTTTAGCGAGGCATTGTCAGCTTATGCAATCTTTTGCTTAATCTATATCAGGCGTTCCTTATTCAGGCAAATTTCTGTAATTGATCGATTATTATGTGTTTGTCGGTTTATGTTTTGTGCTTCTTCCTTGCTAGGGTCAATATGCTCAGCATGAGATGGTCGAAAATGAAAGCCACGCGTGTATGAGGGATGCAATCACGGCTTTCAAGGAGAATAACCCTTCGTGGGACCAGATTTGCGCATTCATGGTCAACAAAGCCGTCGTAGAAAATAATCTTTTGCAACGGGACCTTCAATTAGCGCGTGTATTGATTTGTCACTTTCATCTGAAGAAATATATGCGTACGGAGATGTCGAAGGCTATCTATGGTGGTCGCCATGGTGTCGATGTGGATCGCGCTGAAGACTCGCTCGGTATGATAGTGAAGGATCGGAATAAAGAGGAGTACGACCGCGGCTTTAGGTATATGTACTATGTATTGGACGGATTCGATGGACAGGGTGAGCTACCGGAACCAAAACACCCCCTTCTTGATTATGTCGTTCGAAACTGGTACTCCTGCAAGGAAATGTGGTCTATGTACGAGCGGGGCAATGTCGCCCACCTTGTCAATTACCCCAACAACAGGTACGTACGTTTTAAATGTCAAAATGACTCTATGCGTCTAACATATCACTCGTCACCATGATGTAGGCTTGCGTCAGCGTGGGGGGCGCTAAAAGATTTTTTTGGCCGGAGATGGAGCTTCATGAATGCGTGGAAACGCTGCATTTTGAGCAGTCGACGGCTGAATTGTAATATGCACCTCGATTTAATGTTCTAGGTTTACGGAGCTATCTCGGCGCAGACGAGAGGCTACTTCGATTGGCAGCATTGGTGAGCCCGCATGCATTTGAGCTGGTCCGAAAGGAAAACGAACTGTATAAGAAACGTTCTTGGTCCTACGAGGGTAAGTGGTTGCAAAATTAAGTCGTCCGTCTGAAGCTGCACATAACGGATTGCGAATGTACTGTGGATGTTTCGGCACGCGAACGCGCGGTAGTACTTTGATTTTAATCTAAATTACTGACGGTAGTTTGTGCTTTATGCAGACTTACACGTGTTCATCCTTCTTCATGCGGACTATGTTGTTTCCGTGTCACCACACGACGTTTGTACGTGCATCGATGGATAAGAAGAAGGTGATTCCAGTGACCTACATTCATAGTCGCTGAATATTGCAGTCCGAAGCAAACCACCCGGTGGAGGAGTCAGATGACGATATTTCTTGTGCCACATTCCGCCTATAGCGCTCGCACATGCGATCAGTGGAGCATGCTGCTCTTAATGGGACGATTCGTCCTTCAAGCTTGTTATGAGCCATCTCATCGATTAAGAGCAAGACAAAAAAGAAAGAAGCCGAATTGGACGGGTGAATCCACTATTTGCAAGGGTTTACGACGAAGCCATGAAGCACGAAGTGATTGCCAACTCGCCCTGCCAGACTACCGATCGCTTTATTCTCATTCCCCTGTATCTGGAATCGCACTGATATGTAATAGTATTTGATTACGAGAATGGAAAGCACTGCTATTTGATCCCATGCAGGCGTTAAACAACTACAAGTAAATCTGCAATTCTGATCATGTATTTCTTAGATAACGTAGTGAACCTCGACCCAGTTCACCAACGAGCACCCCGCCAGGGAGATACGAATAGTTGCAGCCTGCTGAAACTGTTTTTCTTTGAATGTGCTGTGCGTGGTATCCCGGTTCCCAAGGTGTCCAGGGAACAAGTCAAGTATCTTCGCTTTCGGTACTTCTTCTTGACTAGCAAGAGAGTATTCTACAGAAAGCCAGACGCAGCCACGGATGATGCATAACTGCGCGTAATACATTGTCGTCTTAATTGAATTCGTGGGAAGCTCATGTCATGCTCATGCAAGGCCTGCATCGGTTGTGGTGTCGGGGCTTTTGGCAGACACGGAGTCTAGAGCTCCACATACGGCTAGAACTGGCGATTGCAGAGTATCTTGGTAAGCAAAAAATAGCACCCCTTGTTTGTGAATCTGTGCAGTGCTGTTGGTAGCACTCCCTGCCACCACAGTACCAGCCCACTCAGACACTGATCGACACGAGATTTTTTTGCAAAGTCGTCTTCACATTCATACAACATTCGCGCAACCGTTCCTAGAATCTCAGCGAACCGCCTTATTCGTTGAGAAATCAAATCGTACTTAGCAGTATATATTTCGTACCTACATGTTTTAGTACGTACTTAGCATGATTAACCCTTTCACTACCAGATATTTTTAGGGGTCCGTCTGGTACCCATAAATCGTCGAATGAGCGACAAGTACATATTAAAAATTAACCTATTGGCGATCTGCTGCGTCCAACGTGATCGCATGCAGAGTGACTTACGGTACTCCTCAAAATTCAAAATTTCAAGCTCGTGATGGTCATTGGAGAAGCCCCCTCGCGGACCTGCCGCTACTGCGACGACGAGCCGTGTGAGTGAATCCAGTACAGCAGGGACATCATAGGAAGCAGACTACGCATGCTCTCTTGTAGTCACAGACGTCTTACCTCTCGCCAAATGACACTAACGCTAAGTCAGCACTACTACTACAAGAAGTACGGTCATTTATCGAAGAAGACACGGATTCGCCTTCCTTTTTGTGTGGAACGAGGAATCCAGCGGCTCAACAGCACTATTAGGTATATTAAACGGTTATTACTCTGTTTCCTTAGGTAGCTCAAGCTCATTCAGATATGTGATCGTTCTGTTCTTTTTCAGCCGTGTGTACTATCGGATCACCTCCCGCGGCGGAACAAACGGCATCCAGCGCTGAGCGAGCCGTGAGCGAGGTTGATGTCAGTGTGTGGCGGTAGTGGAAGGCACTGAAACATGCCACGTGAAAACCCCTATGCCAGCCCGTACATCCAAACAGAGCTTTCTTCGTGAAGTCCCGCAGTGAGCATAGATAACACGTAAGTTTTCGAGTCGAATACCGTCGAGAGTTTGGCGTTATTGCATGGACGCTATCATCGGCCCCCACGACGTCTGCTATTGGCTTGCTAGGTGACGGCTCACAGCGACGCTCTTTTGCGAGCTTGGCTCTCTGCACAGCTGTTGCTTGAAGTCGCGGAGCTTCACCCGCGCTGCTTTAGGTCCTGCAACCTTTTTGAATAGTGAAAACGCATTGATGAGCGCTAAATCCAAGGACCACGTCAAAATACTTATTGATAGTCGCTGCTCCTTTCGGTGAATTGGATTGGTGCTCCTAATTTGATCTACTCGATCCACACCGTTCATGAACAATTTGTACGCGACCACCATTGCTGGGACGTGGAATGTTTTGCGATGCAGCACGCTGTCTAGTGTCCAACGCCGCAGCCATATTGCTTCATCAGAGTCACCTGATAGTACACGCTGAGAAGGTGTACCAGCCAAGTCGTTCGTGTAGAAAACTACGGTAAGCTTGTCTCGAAAGACGATATATCCCGCATTAGGAGCGATAGCCATCGGTGCTATATACTGCGTCCTCTGGTGCGGCAGTAATTTCTTCTGAGCTCTTTTATGCTTCTCTTGTTGTCTCTGCCAGTCCGATGGCACGTCTACCGCCGCAACCATCTCCCATGAACCCCGTTCAGCTTTGTCAATCCTAGTTTTAGCCGCTTCTAATCCCATTGCATTCCACTTACCCTGCAGTGATATTCGCACCGTACGCAACATCTTCATTTCACCATCAGTAAATGCCGATAGCGTCTTTGCCAAATTGTGTCTCGTATAGAAATGATCACAAACTAGCAGCCGGTGGCCACTCGCTGCCTGATGTGTTTTCGTGAGATGGCCACACATTGCGATCCAGAGCGCGCTAGCATCTTTTCGATCCATGGGAATGTCGGCACGCTCGAGCGTCCTGAATAGTGCCGAGCGTAGCCCAGGAAACAACCCGACGTATCTCTCTGCAGGAGACGTTCTCGTTCGGTTACCAGATCCGTTATCCCACACTGAGTACGCATATAAACTCTCCCATCCCACCACAGCATAAAAGCGCACACCATATTTATCTGGCTTCGAAGGCATGAATGTCTTCGCAGCCGATCGAGCTTTTGTACGAACTGTGTTCTCGTCGAGGCTCACAGCCTCTACGGGTACTGCAATTGCAGCGAGCTTTTCCTGGATCTGAGCCATAAGGCGCCGGCTGCGCCATAGTGGATCCTGTTCTCGCCGGTCAACAGAGACACTATCTGGTGCGTGAACCTGAAAGCGCGCTCTAATGCTCTCAAGTCGATTTCTTGGCATGGTCAACGCGAAGTCGGATTGGCCCATAAATACTTACGCGACCAGAGCTCCTTGATCTCTGTTACAGGGTTGGAACTCATGGATATCTCCGATCCTAGATAGGCATCAAGTTCGTAGACAGTGGCTTCAGGTTTCCCTTTATCTTTTAGCATTGCGTTGGTCCAACTGTGTAGCGAATCTCTGAATTCTCTCGTGAAGAAAAGCGAGAAAAGACTCAGCTCACCGCGGTTTTTGTAGGCAGCACTCACTTCTCCGTTCCGTAAAATGTGTAGCCCGCTGTGCTGAATGATTCCATCTACATACGCGTTGCCAGTTCTACCAGATATTGGCATCGTTTTCTCAGCTGATGACGCTGATTCGCTATCCGATTCTGTTGCGATGTCGACCTCCTCGTTTGACAGGACGGCAGCAGCGCTGTCTTCCACCTTGTCAATCGTTATTTTGCACTCTTCTAGCAATGGACATATCTGAACTACTGAGCAACAACGACGATGAAGCCGACTGGGAATTCGAGACATTCCCAGTCGGCTTCATCGTGACATTCCCAGTCGGCTTCATCGTCGTTGTTGCTCAGTAGTTCAGATATGTCCATTGCTAGAAGAGTGCAAAATAACGATTGACAGTGAGAGAAGTGAAAATTGGTGGCAACCTTGGGGCCACAAACTATTATGTCTTAAGCAGTAATGCTACGGAGATGTGTTGATACGGGTCCGGTGAGGACCTGTTAGTCCTTGTGCGCTGTAGACCTAAACCCCGCTGGGGGAGTTTTTACCAATCAGTAATGCTTGTGTATCCAGTTACAGGTCTGCTGCGGACATGTAACAGCGCACAATTTTGTCGGTAGTGAAAGGATTAAGTTACGAGCCATTAACCAACATCTAACCGGTTGGGAACGGCTGGTGATAGTTGGTGATGCTGGTTGGGATCGATGTATCGGCCATGCAATCAGGTAATGGACTCTAACGCGAGCCTTATTATAAACCGTGATATCAACCGGAAAGTATCAAGGCTCGAAACTGGTGCTATGGATGAATATTGAAACAGGCCAATTGTCTTGTCCGGCTGTGGGGCAGGTCGTACAGCTGCACCGTGCTGCGCTGCGTCGTTCGTGTCTGGCAGCCGATGACTCACTGAAATGTACTCTTCTGTTGGCCGACAGGAACCACTTAGTTCCTGCGCCGGATCGTCCACTCACGTGTCCGCTCCTATTTATATTCAGGTAGCTACTAGCCGACTTGCTAATACTACTTCGAGTCCTTCTACGAATTCTCACACTCCTCGCCTTCGTCCGTCTCACACTCACGTACGTCTCCTCGCTCACGTACGCGTCCTTGCTCACGTCCGTCTCGCACTCACGTACGTCTCCTCACTCGTGTACGTCTCCTCGCTCACGTCTGTCTCGCAATGCCTCGTCAACTCGCCGCACTCGTGTACGTCTACTCGCTCACGTCCGTCTCGCAATGCCTCGTCAACTCGCCGCACTCGTGTACGTCTACTCGCTCACGTCCGCCTCGCACTCGCCACTTGTGTCTCACGGCGCAAGTTCCCAACTGAGCCAGTCTCGCGGTCGTCGCACGCCCTTAAGTGAGTCCA